AAATCTCAAATCATCCAGAGATAATTTATCATTTGTGCATTTGTAATTCGACTTAGATGTTAAAAATAAAGTTTTAGGTCAAACAATGAGACACGGTTTTTTTATTTTTTCCGTAGAATTGAATGGTGTGAATTTTTGAATGTATTTTTAATTTAAACAAATTATCAACAATAACTGAAAAATTCATTGTCGCAAGTAATTTTTTATTTTTTTTGCATTTTTGAGCATGTTTTTGGACTTACAGATTTTTTTTTCACCAAAAAGTATATGTCAAAACGAAAAATATGACTACCAGCAGAACTCTGTACGATGATTTTTTTAAGTAGAATTTTTCTTTAAAAAAAACTGTTTCAGGCCGAAAAAATGAATATCTCAGAAACTTAATGATTTTTTCATCTAAAAAAATTCGAGGTTATTTAAGACAGAGAAAGGTATACTTTCGAAAAGTTTCGTTAAATTATTTTTGCAGAAATGAGAAATAAAAAACGAAAAAACAGAAAAAAAAACTGTTTTTCGCATTTTTCTTGGAAATTTTGAGGTTATGTTAAAAAGTGACCTCTACAAAAGTTGTAGATTTTTGCATGATATACAACTTTTGTATTGGACACTCTTTTCTTTGACGTCAACTTTCACCAGAAATACCAATAATACAATTTTTCATAACTTTTCAACCCCCCAAATCAACCCTCCGCCGCCCCTGCTCCCGCATTTATTTTTTTTTTAGGTTTATTATAAGCCCTTTTACCATTTCTACTTATAAAAGTATACGTAAGTATAGTAAGTAACAATTTTTTTTTTTTTTCTCCAAGTGTAATTTGGTTGGACTATAATGGTACTGGAAAGAATAAAAAATTTTCCAAATATTTTCACTAACGTAAAAATTATAGAAAACTGTACAGCGTGCCTGATTTTAAATAAAGATATATTTTACTATTCCGTACGAATGCACTGGCTCTAAGAGCTTTTACCCTGACGCAAATTTTCTCATTTCAACCCCTATTCCAAAAAATTATTAAGAAATGTACGGCACCGATTTCAGAGTTTTACTTATGCTCTAAAACTAAAAATATAAGTGCCGTACAAAATATTTGGTTAAAAAAATGTATTACATAATTGTGAGTGTTCTGAAGTTAACGTCATTTTTCTTTGAATAAAACTCATTATTTCCTTAACGGCATAAATTTCGGAAGCAAGTTATTCCACTTTATAATCTTTATACAAAAGTGCCGTATAAAATTATTGGCACCAGAAAAAAACAATTCGCCGTGAATAAAAAAAATTGTTTATTATTTTTGTAATTTGGAAAATCCATTTGATAGCTACTATGGTACTATATATTTTCAATGTTATTACTGTTTTAAATTATTCAATGGTTAATATTTGTTAACAAAATTGTGGATGCCGTCTATTTTTAACTTCAGGGTTTTCCATAATTAATAGGATTTTCCAAGGCATCTTCGCTACATTATGAAATTATATATTCCTGTACGGCATTTACCCCATAACATTAACACCATTAAATGACAATAAAAAATTATATCGCCGTAGATTTTTGATGAAACATACATCGATTGCTATAAAAAATATTTAAATAATTTAAAATCTCAATTTTACTATACTCAATAATTAACAATTCCTGTACGGCATTAATTGCAGATTATGAAGGGGGTTAAGCAATGATGAAAAATTATATTGCCATTACATTTGCGTGGAATATACAAATAATATATGCATAAATTGTATAAACAATAAAATGAAAAAGGATAGTGTTTCGTAAATTCCATGTAGATAGACCAATAAAAATGTAAAACTAAATTATGTTAATCAATATATTTTTTAGAATTTATCTTTTTCAATGCAAAAAATTTATAATAATTACCAAAAAATTTAATTGATATTTGAAAGAAGTATTAATAACGTTTTTGGTCTTTTGAAATGTTGGAAACTAATTCTGTGATTCTCAGTAGCAAATTCAGTTTTAAGTATTACTTTAGAACTTTTACAGAATGCACCATTTTCATGTTTGATTGATAATTTTTTTAAATAAATTATGTTAAAAATTATTACTGATTTTACAATTTTATGTTATTGTACATCAATTTTATTTTATTTAAGTCGTCAGTGCCGCGAAAAACAACTACTCCGAGGCTTATTTGCCCCTACCGGCATTGAATTACATTCGCGACATCCAGTACAACAGCTAGGATCGTTCATCAGCTGGTCCCACCAGGCACAGACCGGTTTCGGACTTATTAGTCCTCATCAGTGTGTCATAGGTAGGACAACCGATGAACGCTGCTAAAAGTCGGAAACTCCCGACAAGAGGTACATAGTACGCGAAGCACAAAGACTCCATCTATCGCGCTGACTTCCACTATGCCATTCAAATGGCTACTACGGTGGAAGCGACCTGCTAAAATTTGCCAGGTACTTTATTGCACGAATGTCGCCTATAGAGGGCGAAACACAATGTAAGTCGTCAGTGGCGACATTCGTGCAATAAAGTACGTGGCAAATTTTAGCAGGTCGCTTCCACCGTAGTAGCCAGTACATTTAGTACATCACCAGTCACCGCAGCAACGAGTTGAGTCCATCAGACGCTCCGACAAAGAAAGGTGCACTATTGTTTCTTTCCGGTGCACTGGACCAAAACTGCGCGTTCGGCTTATGGATGATGTCTTCCCCTTATTCTGTCCTATGAGTTGAAACGCAGGTCGTACCTAACCACAGTAATACGACAAGGTAGGGTGCACTGTCGTCTCTTTCCGGTGCATTCGACCTAACTGCGCGCTCTGCTTAAAGGATGTTGTTTCCCCCTTCCCTTTCTGTTCTATTAGTGGAGACGCAGGTCGTCAATAATCATACTTTTCTTTCAGTGATCCGGTTCTACTACGACATAGTTGGGTGTGCTGTTGTCTCTTTCCAGTACACTTAACCTAAATGCGCGTTCGGCTTATAGGATCGTAATTAATGATACTTTTCTTTTAGGGACTTTCCGCCAGCCGCCGGCCAGTCTTGATGAGATCTGTTATTACTATTATATTTCTCTGTGTAGAGATAGTAGCCAAGCCTATAGTTAGTACATGTAGTTCTGCTTTTGCCCGTTAAATCACTTCCTCCTTTCTGGAATCTACACTACCGCTTGCTAGCTCTGTTCTGTTTTGCTTTAGTCAGGTCACCGCTTAACACCGTACCGTTATTTTACCGTTTCCTGTAGTCACCACCTGTATACAACTGTAGCCGTTTCTCACAGTCTAACTATAGATTTAGAATAGAAGTATAGGACTTTATATTATGTAGAATAGAACTGTTAATAAATGTAAATATTTATAAAGTGTGACTTTTATTCCTGTGTGAAGTCCAACTCTCTATAGACCCTCTGGAGAGACTGTGTCTTCACTGTAGTTACCCGAGTAGTGTCGTTTCTGTACTATAAACAGAAACTAGTGCCCGAGATATCCGCCGCCGCTCAGGCGTCATAGTGATGTGAAGTAAATAATACGTCACACGTTGTAATGCGTTCTTCCTGATTACCCAAGGTGCTAGATTTGTGTCGCTTTGCCATCTGACCAATAAACCTTTCGAGAGTGGGGAGAAGTAGTGGAGGTGGATGCATGGGGCGTCCGATGATGAGCCAACTATGATGACGGAGTGGGGGTTTCCTCCGAACGAGGCGATGTTGACCTTGACTCATTTGGGTGCTAAGACTTGATCTTTCATTCCATTGTTGCCAGGTATGACGTCGTCTTCCATGCTGAGGAATCCTGGAACGTTAATTCAATCAACACTGACACGGAAAACGAAGACAATGTTAAAGAAACAGCCTACCTAAGATACCAACACGGGAATTGAAAGATACAAGCACGGCATCCTTGTCTAGGAACGTATTCAAAGCCATGTGTCCGCTGCCTCCCATAAGCTACATCCATGTATGACAACTATAACGTCAAGTAACTTTGGGTTCTTTACAGAATTTTCAGGGACGTATACGTTTAAGTAAGTTCATCAATAACGATGATATTGTAAGAAGTAAATGTTTAAAGGCATATAAAAATAATTTCTTCGTACTTTAAGACAAGTGTAATTAGATTGCAAGTTACTTAGTGCTTTATACTGATCAGATATTTCTTGAAGATTGAAAAGTTGACCTTGAGAACATGTATGAGGAGCGTTGGTCACCCAAGTTCCTGACCAAGCTGGAATGGGTTCAGATTCCTACAATGTAAAGAAACAATAACTATTAAAACGACATTTATTTAAAACAAACTTCTTAATACATACCAAACTCAGGAGATCACGTTGCAGATGATAATTAATTGAAAAACGGATGATAAATAATAGTAGCAATAGAAAGAAGTCATAGATGAGAATATTTTGACCCACCTCAAACTGGTGGTTTTGCGTATGGAATTCCAGCAAATGCAGCATATGTTATACCATCCAAAGTCTTCCAATATCATCAAACTCTTCCCAATGGCGTGTCTATCTCTAGCAGTTCAACCTGACTTAAACAAACTAATTTAGTTTTTTTTTAGTTTGATGAGAGCATACTTTTTAATTTTTCTATGTACCGTAAAAGTAAATAAGACAAAAAAATACTAAACACGTCTAAATATAAAGGAACGTAAGTAGATAATAATCAGTAGCAAATAAGTAGTTACAATTATTCCCAAACGAGAGAATAAAAACAGACGTACTAATTTACACAACATTTCGCAATGGACTATTTTTAGCTGTGCGCCTGGCAAAAAATATTATATTACTACAATAATTATGATATCACCACTTATCTTATTTATTACAATCGCCAGGGTAGGACTGTCGATTGTACTTACTTGACTTAGAATTTATAATAGTTTGAATATTAATATTAATAAAACAATTATAATAATAAGGAAAACCATGAAATAAAACTATTTTTTATGTTGTATGGTATACTGATAATTCACATAAAGAAACTATGTATAAGAAATCTACAGTTCATTTTTTGCAATAAGGTTTCAATTCTCCAGGAATCCAAGCTTGCTCCAAAAGTCAGTTGGAGTCAGGCTTTCGCTGCTTTGCAGCTTCATGTCTTCCGGTCCATTTATTAACAAGTATGTCAGCTCTTCAGCACCTATTGGTTGCCAATTGTCTGTCCCATCGAAAGAAGGATTACTAAAAAATTGGAATTGATGAAGGAAATAAGTCATTCAAGAAAATTTATGTTATTATTACCCGCTGCTAGCATATGAGTACAACATATTGTGGCAAGCAATACTCAGGCGTTTATCTTGTTCCGATAATGGTTTGATTTGTAATAAACCATAGAAGTAGATGCCATCTTCACCGTGACATACTCCTGTGAAAATGGTGATGGTAGAGTTGATTTCATTTGTAATATTTATTCAATGCCGTTTATTCTCTAGTTAAATGTTCAGTTCTTACCTTCTATTTCATCTGTTCCCGATAAGAATTGCACCACTTTGTTTTCACCTTCGGTGTAATTGAATATGTAGAGATATATTGGAGATTTTGTTACGTTGGCTTGTAGTTTAACTGATAATTCTGCAGAAACAGCGAACAACCTGTCGGTGACAATCTATATACAAATAAAAACAAAATAAATTAGGTAAATTTTATTTCACAAATTGAGAAAATATACCTGCGTAAATTTTTTGAAATTATTTTTACTGATTTTTTGTCCTGGTCCCAAATAGTAGTCTAAAACTTCCTTCGCTACTGCCTCCGTCTTCGATTCAGGTAAAGTCTCGTTGCAATCTAGCAGATAGGGAGATATTTCTACCCACTTTTCGTCTATCTCGTCTAAGTTTTGCCAAAGATCTGAAGAATTATATAATCTGAATTACTTTAAACAATCCTGTATTACCGAATCATTGCAGAGTAAAAGAAAAAAGAAAGACCGGGCGTCCTGAAATTAATGCAACAAAATTTGATCACAGATTTTTAAGACAAATTTAGGGCAACCGTGTTTTTCCTTTTTACCAAATAGCCTCTATTTCGTGGGCCCCCTCGTCTTTGGAGCCACTTGATCTCCGAAAGTGAGGGCTACTATAGTTAGACAGTACAGTGAAGTTTGTATTTGAACGTCTCCTGCTTAATTACAGTTTTTAGTGGTTTATATTGACTAAGAATTTTCGCATTTGAAGCTATGTATCTTATCCTAAACTTATTAAGTAGCTGATGCTTCGTTCTGTTACAAATCTTGAAGAATTATTTAGAATTGGACTTACATTCCATTGGTACCAGTGGTGAAAAAAGTTGAACATCTATCAGTGTTTGTTAAAAAAAAAAAAAAGAAACTCTTAAGGAGTCCATACACCAGCAGATTTGTAGTGATTTATATTTAATGCAATGGATGAAAACATTTGTACTAAATGTAAGGAAAAATTTAAACGTGACACAGGTTTGAAATGTGCAGGAGTATGTGGAAATATTTTTCATGTAAAGTGTGCTGATATTAGTACGAAAGAATTTAACGTAATAAAAAACTTGCAAGGGCTTAAATGGCTTTGTGAAGGATGTTTACCGTTTTGGAATTTTTGTACAACTATGACTAAAGAATTCACCGAATTTAAACTCGCCTTGTTAAGTGAAATACAAATAATAAAGACAAAATTAGATAGTTATCCTAAATCAGTAAACGCTAAACCTGCCATTTCGTATTCAAATATAGTATCCGGAGAAGCTGTTGTTATTAAGCCTAAATCTAAACAAGCCTGTAGTAAAACCAAAGAAGTTGTTACGAAAAAAATTAATCCTTCAGAAATGGAAGTTAATATCACCCAAGTGAAGAACATTAAAGATGGAGGAATATTGATAAAGTGCAAAACTAAAGAAGAATCTGAAAAAGTACGTTGTGAAGTAGAAAAGAATTTAGGTAAACAGTATCAAGTAAAAATACCTCAACAAAGAAACCCATGCTTAAAAGTTGTCGATATAGAGGAAGATATGGATAATGATGAACTGTTGGAATGCATCAAGAATCAAAACCTATGTATAAAACATGATAAATTGAACTTGAAGGTGGTGACGATAAAGAAAATGGTGAAACGTTATATGGCCATTCTGGAGTGTGATCCGATCACTCATGCAAAAGTTCTTGAAGAAGGGTCCATTTGTATCGGATGGTCACCTTCCTGTAGAGTATTTGACTATGTTAGATTATTTAGGTGTTACAACTGTGGAGGTTTTAATCACAAATCAAATGATTGCAAGGTCCAGGTATGTGTAAAGTGTGGTGAAAATGACCATAAAAAAGAAAACTGTCAAAACGAAACTTTAAAATGTTTAAATTGTTTAGAGGCTAAAGAAAAATTAAATCTAAATATCACTGTTAATCATTCACCCTACGATATCAAAAACTGTGTAGTTCTGCAAAGAAAAATTGATACTGAAAAACAAAAAGTTCGAAATGAACCATTATAGCAATCAAATTTGAAGTTGATTAAAAATTTAACCATCTGCCATCAAAATGTTCAATGTATTAGGAACAAAGTGGATCTTGTTGAATCATTTTTAGTTGCAAATGACATTGACATATTCTGTATGTCAGAGCACTGGCTATCAAAAGATCAGATTACACTGTTTAAAATTCAAGGATATAATTTAATTAGTATATTTTATAGGACAAATTATAAAAATGGAGGGGTTGCAATACTCTGTAGAGAAAATAATCATCTGAATGTTGTAGAAATAAAAAATATTAATTTTATAGCAACAGAAAAATTATTTGAATTTTGTGGCATTGATATCATATTAAGCAATAACGTACATTTGATTGTAGTATGTATCTACAGGTCTCCTAAAGAAAATGTAAATTTATTTTTATCTGAATTGAATATATTTCTAGAAAAATACACTGAGAAATTTAATTACACATATACTGTGTTGTGTGGAGATCTAAATATTGACTACCTCGTTAATACTACATTTAGAGATGATATCCACGATATTATCAACTTATATGGCTTTGTGAATCATATAGATAGGCCAACAAGATGCACCTTGAATTCTTCTACTGCAGTAGATTATATGTGTACTAATTTTGACCAAAATGTATTTGATATGTCTTCAGATGTTATATTTAATTGTATATCTGACCACTCTGCGCAAATTGTAAAATTACGATGCAACTGGGAGTTTTATAATGACAGTATTAGTAAAAGGGTTTTTAGCAGTCATAATTATTATACCTTCTTTGATTACTTAAGTAAGGAATATTGGAATGACATATATCAATGTAGTGATGTTAATCAAGGTTTTTATTGTTTTATTAATATATTGAAGTATTACATTGATATATCTTTTCCTATAACTAAAATTCAACAAAGTAAATGTCGAAGTAAAATGTGGCTAACGGCAGGTATTAAAGTATCATCTGAAAAATTAAAAATGCTTTATAAGAATATGTGCACTACAAAAAATGCACAGGATATCGAGTGCTATAAAAAATATAAAAAGGTTTATAAAAAAGTTATCACAGCTGCAAAAAAACTACACAATGATAGAATATATCAATACTCTAATAATAAATGTAAGGCTGCATGGTCCATAATAAATACCTGTTTAAATAATACAAAAAAAAATAATGACATATCCCAAATTTTACTTAACAACACCATATCAACTGATAACAAAATTATCGCCAATTCATTTAATGACTATTTTGTTGGAATACCATATAAAACTATTGTTAATTCGCAAATTGATAATGCTAATAAGGATAAGTTTGCTTCAATAAGCCAAACGTTTGACACAATGTTTTTACGACCCGTATCAGAAAATATAGTATATAATATAATCATGAGTTTAAAAAAATCTAATTCTACGGGTACTGACTTTATCTCTTATAATTTGCTAAAAAATGCTGCTAATTACATCTTATCTCCCCTAACATTTCTAATTAATATGTCACTAGAAACAGGTGTATTTCCAGACACATTTAAATTAGCACGCATAGTACCTCTGCATAAAAAAGGGGCCAAGGACAATATAGAAAATTACCGCCCTATAGCACTTCTTAGTTCTGTCTCTAAAATCCTTGAGAAAGTAGTATTTAATCAGATTATATATTTTTTAAACGGTCAAAATATTTTGCATAACTCCCAACATGGATTTAGAAAAAATAAAAACACGCAGTCGGCTATACTTTGCTTTATAGACAATTTATATAAATCTCTAGATGAAAATAAAAAATGTATCGGCTTGTTTATGGATCTTAGCAAGGCTTTTGATTTAGTCAGTCATGATCTGTTGAAGGAGAAGATTTTGCGTTATGGACTTAGGGGTAGGGTTTATGATTGGATATCTTCATATTTGTTTAATAGGAAACAGATAGTTGACATAAATGGTTATTACTCCGAAGAAGCAACTGTAGATATTGGAGTACCCCAAGGATCCATCTTGGGTCCCTTAACTTTCTTATTATTTGTAAATGATCTTCCGAATACTGTATCATGTGTAAATAATTTAACTATGTTTGCTGATGATAATACTTATTTAACTAATGAATCGAGTGTACGGGATAGTGTTACGACAATGCAGGAAATGATTAATCATTTTAAAAACTGGTTTTCAGTAAATAAGTTGTGTCTTAATACGTCAAAAACGGTTTTCATAAATTTTACTCCTCGGACATCTGTATTAAATGAGACGCATCTTTTGAAAATTGATCATAAATCCATAGCTCAGGTTGAGCACACTAAATTTCTTGGATTGTACATAGACAATAAATTAAATTGGAAAACACATATAGATAATCTTTCTAATAAGCTCACACCAATGTTTTATGCGTTATTTAGATTAAAATCTGTCACTAACACGACAACTCTTATATCCTTCTATCATTCTCAATTTGTTGCTCGTATGCGATATGGTATTATATTTTGGGGTTCTTCTAGTTATATTAGTAGAATATTTAAAATACAAAAAAAAGCTATTAGACTTATAGTTGGTGTGTCACAAAGAACATCATGCAAAAAATATTTTAAAAAGCTAAAACTGTTGACTCTGCCCTGTCTATTTATTTACGATGTCTTAATGTATGTTAAATATAATTTAAATCAGTTTACAATCAATGGAGATTTTCACAATTATAATACACGAGTCAGATCATCGCTAGTTGTCCCTGGGCATAACTTGTCACTATATGAGAAGAATCCTATCTATGTTGGTATTAAGTTATATAATAAGCTTTCCCCAGAAATAAAAAACATACAGAGCATGCAGTTGTTTAAAAAAAACTTGAAAAAATATTTATTAGAGAACGTTTTTTATAGCACTCATGAATTTCTTAGATATGCGTAAATTGTTATGATTGCACCCCACTAAGATTTTGTTCATTCGTTTTAAATATTTCTTTTAGTGAATTGTTAATTCTTTGTTATTTTAATTCTTCTTTTAATATGTGCATACTACCGATTGTTGATGTCGTTGTAATATTTGTATTTTGACTTTTCCTATACTATGTTACATGGTCTACTGGAATAAAAATTATTATTATTATTATTATTATTATTATTATACTTGGCAAAAATAAAAAATACGGGTCACCAAAATTTGTCTTAAAAATCTGTGACCAAATTTTGTTGCATTAATTTGGGGACACCCTGTATAGCCTGACTCACTTCCTGTAAGAAGCAATCCTTCATCATTTGTATAAGAGGTAATCCAAGGTATATCGTGGACTTTACCCTCCTTCAAAAGTTGGTAAGGATCCGTCTCTAGGAAAGCGTTTGCTGATTCCTTTTCCACCACTGCACTGCACAGTGGTCGGAAATCTGAAAAGCTGGACAAAAGTCGAAATTTCGAAATAGTTGGTTTGTGTTAATACTTCAGAATATTCTAGAGATGGAGTCACTGCGTAGTTCTGCAAAAGATCAGAGAGCTGGCCCACGTGTGTTGACCACAACAACTCTTTGAAGTAGGCTGCGAAACATTAAAATATTTCACTTGCAACTGACTCCGCGAAACCAGTGAATTGAAAATACGGGCAAATTTTTCTATAGTACGAATCTTTGTGTGCAATATGGAGGGTGTTCCTGGAGGTAAGTCGAATACATTTGCCCATCTATAACCTCATTTTTCGAAAGTTGCATATTTTTATTGTTTTAACAAAAACGTCTTAAAATTTCTATCGATTTCAAATCACATCAATCGTAAATTATCGAAATAGTTGTGATCCCAAGAGATCCTGCACTATTGAAAGTTGGAAAATGCGTACAGATGTTCATATATCAAACGAGAAAACTTCCGGATTTTTTCAGGGCAAAGTCAATACAAACAAAAGTTTAGTGACGACGGAAGTTCAGATTCTAATATTTTTCTCACTTCGCTCGTTCCTTTACAAATTGTTGGCATAGATAATGAAAAAAAGAAACAAATTATTGTCTGGAAAAATCCCCGTCCTTCGTCAGCTCGCTTTTGTCGACCAATTAAACTACAGTTCTTGCACGAAACTGTAAAGTCCATTCGTGATGAAGAGCGTTACATTTACAACCAAATCGATACTTTAATTCCTTACGAATGTATTACAGATGGCAAGAAAGTTTTGATTTCATATGAAATGTATTTCACGATGATAGATGGAAAAGTAGCGAATGCAGTTACAGACACGAAATCTGCAATGCGTTGTCACTTGTGCAAAGCCACGTCGAAAGAGTTCAATAATATTGATAAAATGCAAGAGCGGAAAATCGAAAAAAGGAGTTTGAAATTCGGCTTATCAACTTTGCATGCGTGGATCCGATGCTTCGAATGCCTTTTGCACATCGGATATAAATTGGGTATCCACAAGTGGCATGCACGCGGTGACGAAGACAAAGATATTATTAAGCAGCGTAAATGTTTGATTCAAAAAGCCTTTAAAAGCGAATTACACTTGAACATTGATTGCCCAAAACCAGGGTTTGGTAGCAGTAATGATGGAAATACGGCTAGAAGATTCTTTGAAAACTCGGCAGTTTCCGCCAGAATTCTAGGAGTAGATGAAACTTTAATTAATAAATTTCACACAATTTTGCAAGTCCTGTCAAGTGGGTTCGCTGTTGAAGTAGGAAGATTCCAAACCTTTTGCCTTGAAACCGCACGATTGTTCGTAAATTTGTATCCCTGGTATTGTATGCCAACTTCAGTTCATAAAATTTTAATTCATGGATTTCAAATCATCGAATGGGCACCACTTCCGATCGGACAGTTGTCCGAAGAGGCCCAAGAAGCAAGAAATAAAGATATAAAAAATTATCGAGAACATTTTTCGCGCAAATGCGCACGGGACAAAACAGTGGAAGATGTTTTTCAACGCATGATGATCACATCTGATCCATATATTTCAAGTTTCGGGAATCACTTGAAAAAACTTGGTAAAAGCTTTTCGCCCGAAGCTATGGCGATGTTTTCATGCTCTGACGATTATATGACAGATGATAACGATGAGAATGACTCATTAGAATAAGATAAATAATTAGAATAATTTCTAAAAAAAATGTTTCAATAGTAAGTATTTCGAAATTGTTTCTTTCGAAATGAGTAATTTATTCCAAATATATGCCTATAACAGACCTTTCGTACTTTATTTATGATTATAATTCCAATCTTACATACGTTTTACGCGACCTCAATACCAGAGGCACTCGAAATTTCAATTAGATTCAATAAATTAACGTGATATATCGGCCATTTTGTGTCAGCCATCTTGAACTTGAGATTTTTGACTGCAAATTCGGTTTTAGCGACCTGAAAAATATAAAGTCCCCACTTTTGGTGATGATGCAAACTTTTTTCGACTTTTGTCCAGCTTTTTCGGATTTCCGACCACTGTGCACTGGTGCAAAAGGTGCAATTGGCATGAGATTGAAACCAAAGAAATATTTCAACTGATTTAATAAATCTTCTGCAGGTCTCTGCTTAAGGCACTTCTTCAGTTCTTCTAAGGGGCTGTCAGGACAGCCCACCAACACAGCAAGCTTCCTAGCACGTTGCAAAGCATTTTTCTTCGTTACCCACGGTGCTAGAGCTGTACCGCTTTGAGACATCCCTCTGATGAATAAACCTTTAGAGAGGGGAGAGAAGTAGTGGAGGTGGACGCTGGCGCCTCCCGCTGACGCTCCTACTATGGTGACGGAGTGGGGGTTTCCCCCGAACGAAGCGATATTGTCCCTTACCCACTTGAGTGCCAAGACTTGGTCTTTCATTCCGTTGTTGCCGGGTATGACGTCGTCTTCAGTGCTGAGGAATCCTGGAACGTTAAATCTGTTTGAATCATGACAAAGGCTGAAGGAAGCATTTACCTAGAATACCAAGACGGTAATTTAAAGTTACAAACACGGTATCCTCCTCTAGGGACGTATTGAAACCGGTAGATCCACTACCTATTATAAAAGCACCACCATGGATTGACACTATCACATCGAGTGCTTTCGGGTTCTTCGCGAAATCTTCAGGTGTGTACACGTTTAAGTAGAGGCAATCTTCTTCTCCTGATGAAAATAAATCGACTTAGTTGCAATATTAATCTTGATTCTAGGAAGTTATGTACTTACCTATTACTTTATACTGACCAGATATATCAGTAACACTAAACTGAGGTTGAGAACACGTGTGAAGAGTGTTTGCCTCCCAGATTTCTGACCAGGCCGGTATGGGTTCAGGTTCCTGCAAATTAGTAAAAATAAAAATAAATGTAAACAAGTGGGGCTTTCAGTAGGAATTTGGGAAATGTTTGCACACATTATTACTATCTCGTAAAATAAAGATAAACTAATATCTCGGCAACTAAAGGAACTATCTCAGTTCTGTAAAAAATATTATGTAGTGAATATACATGACTTATTATAATTTCTTTAAAATTAACATGTACTCTTCATTTTTCATACAGGGTGTCTCACGGTGACGGCCCATTAGAATTATTTCAGAGACTACTTCGATTTGAATTTTGAAAATTTGGTATACCGGGTTTTCGGGCATGCCCTTCTCAATTAAAATAATGGTGTCCACGTACCACATTTATTATTCATTCACGGACGGTGCAATGGGATTATAAGCAGAATATGTACAGTTTTTAATGAGAGATATCCAAATTTGCCACCAATGAGCAGAAAAAGTTAAGAATTTTAGCAAATCAACTAGAGTACGATCGAGTTTGTGCAGAAAGAAAGTTACCAAAACCAATAACTTCAAATAAAGATAATGTAATAAATGTGCTAGCCTATTTTAATGTTCATCCAGAATCCTCAACTCGTGCCGCAGAGTAGATATGATTTAGGCATTTCACGAGCGTCCATTCACATGATGCTAAGAGCTAATGATATGCCTCCATACAAATTTAAGCTACTTTCTGCTCTTCATCCGGGTGACGCCGTGCAACGTGTACAATTTTGTGAAACGACGTTAATGCGATAATATGTTGCAATATGTCCATATAATAATATGGACAGACGACTCAATATTTGCGAGAGAAGGTATAGAGAAGGTAATAGACAATATTCATTTGTGGTCATCTGAAAATCCTCTTGTTATCCGGGAAAGAAACTTTCAAAATAAATTTAGCGTAAATGTTTTTTGTCTAAAGATGACCAAATTTCTTACCATAGCTACGAAGAAAATTTAAATACCGACAGATATCTCAATATTTTGCAAACGGCTGCGGCAGATTTTCTAGATGATATACCTTTAGACCAACTAAGGAAGTGTTGGTATCAATTATTCGGGGCTCCACCTCACTGTCACAATCAAATCGATCAACAGCTGACTGAAATGTTTGAAGATAGATGGATGAGATGCCTAAGACCGTGGAATTGGACAGTGAGGTCTTCAGACCTCACACCATTAGATTTTTATATTTTTGGAGTAATAAAGCAAAAAGTTTGTTCTACGTTGCTTCAAAAGAGGATTTGATTGTTCGAATACGAAAAGCGTTCCATGAATTGCTTGCAGCTGAAATAGCAAAAGCGGTGACTGATGGCGTTATCTCTAGAATCCACAAGTGCTGAGCACTTGGAAAATGGCTTTCAGCCGATAGCTCTGAAACTTTGGGTGTGAATAGTTCTCGAAGCGTAGATAAAAAGTTATCATAGGCACTAAGCTGAGAAAATTATATTTTCCGAGATATAGTCGATGAAAGCTAGGAGTTATAGCACATAAGTATAAAGAGAATCTTAGCTTGTAAGGTCAAATGAAAAGAAGCCGTGCAATCTGTCCCAAACACATGTTTCTTACGTTATCGGGGTCACTCGATCCGAATCTGCCATCCATTCGGCTGTGCGGATGAGTTTCAAGATCACATGAAGATCAAATGAAGGTCATTGTAAGATCATTGTAAATGTAATCTCTTCCAAACATATGTAGTCATATTATAATAATATTAAGTAATATTTTATTATAGCTTCAGGATATTTTTTATTATACTGTATTGCGCATTTGCAAAGTATACACTGAGAAGTCTTAAGAGGATAACAGGTTGTAAGATTTTCCACGGCCAACCTGTTTCTGGAGTTTACTAATTAATTGGGTAGGTTAAAAAATCGATAAGTAAAAACTTTTTTAACTAAAGTACATTCTTTATTAACATCGTTGATGAATACATATGTTTTTGACTTTACTATACATCGTAACGAATACATATTGAATCATTTTCAAATAAGAAATAATATTGTCTGAAATAAAAGGTATAACATAAATTATAATTAAGTAATTCAATTATCATTTAATTATTTGCAATTATTGTAGTATTTAATAGCGAATCATCTGGGTACTTCACCTGTGCTTGATGGCGGGCATAGCCTAGAAACCAAAAAACACTGGCCACATGAGCACAAGTTCCTACTACTCTCGCCCCTGAGTAACACGTGCAATAATATGCTAGGATTGGACCATTATCTTGATCACCACCATAATTATCTAAGTTTTCATCCACGTTGACATAACTAATGAATATTTGATGTCTTGCAGCATTTCGGAATCTTGAGAAAATTCGTACTCTTAGAAGTCCTGGTTCATCTATATGTTCATCCAATTGAAATTCATCATCATATTCCCTAAGCACCTTCTGTATACTGTATACCCTGTATAGCATCTGTATACCCAAAAGGATGGCTGATTTGGATTCAGTAACTCCGACAATCTAACAAATATGTGTTTTGGAAAGATTGCACGGCTTCTCTTCATTTGACCTTACAATGAGTCTTCCTCGATTTATACCTCGCGGTACCATAACTCCTACCTTTCGGCGACTATATTTCGAAAAATATAATTTTCTCAGCATAGTGCCTATGACAACTTTTTATCTAGGCTTCGAGAACTATTCAAATCTAAATTTTCAGAACTATCGGCTGGAAGCCATTTTCCATAAGGAACCTGCGCGGTCATTTTCAAAATTCAAATCGAAGTAGTCAGTAGTCTCTGAAATAATTCTAATGGGCCGTCACCGTGAGACATCCCGTATATACCTATGCCGTGCCTATTAAAATAATAATTTTTTATGGAAATTTTTTTAATCTTTATTTTTTCTGTCTTATTTTAAATGGCTATAAATGAACCGTTCTTCAGATTTATGCTCACATTATTCCTTCTACCATAATCATAAATTAAAAATCATTTAAAGTTTTTTATTTAATCGTTATGTGTCAATTCTTTATATTTTTCCGCCCAAGATTATTCAGTTAACGTATGTACAATTATAAATGAATCACCCTGTATTGTAAAGATGAAAATATTTTGACTCACCTCGAACCTCAGATCTTCTAACGGTGGTTCTGCGTACGGGATTCCCTCAAAAGCAGCATATTTCCTGTCATCTACAGTCTTCCAAAATCCCCTAACTCTACCCAAAGGCGTGTCTATCTCTGGCAGATCATCCTGGCTTGAACAAACTAGCATCGAGTTAAATTTAAATACATATATAAATTAAACTGTCTTTTTCGACAGATAATAATTTACACTACAAAGAGAACAACATATTTCAGAGCGGGCCATTAATATTTTTTTAGTATGAACAATATCCGTTACTGTTATCCTTGAACGACTAATTATTATCAGTTATTACGAAACAGTTTGTGTTTACCAATGACTTGGGTTCAGTGGCGGCGCGTGAACATTGATTGAATATGTTCTGCTTAGGGTTGTTACATTTGTTGTATTGAATCCCGGAATATTAAGTGCCCGGAGAGCGTTTTAATGGCGCCGGAGGCGAAAAATTTTAAAATTTTCAAGGTCACGCGTTTTCCTTGCACTTCCGAATTTCAAGGAGCAATCCATTTATACAAAAATACAGATTTTCACAAGAACGATTTTTGAAATTGATACCTTTTTGAAATATTTATTCATTAATTACCTACTGACGATATAAATAAATTGGAATAAACTAAATACATATATTTTATTAAATAAACAAAAAAATCGTTTGTGAAGTTTACCAACGATTCAACGAATTTTAATTTTCCTCGCCGTGTTATGATTTTTTCTTTATCTTTTTTTTATATATATGTACATATATTATATTCCGGGAGATTATACGTGCAAATCCGAAATCCGGGACCCTACAGCTAATTCCCGGTACAATCACAGAAAATCCCATGTGGCTAGATCTTCTTTTAATATGTTGTCAAGATCTGCACTAAAATTTATGAGTCCACGAAACACATCAGGGTTGTCCGAATTTTCTGTCTCGTTGTGTCCGCGAAGTGCTAATTCGAAAGCAAAATTGTTTGCAATCTATGATTTTAGATAATACATAACGATTTTTCGTTACCTGTTCATTGTGTTTCCGTATATTACCCCAATATGCAGAATCTAACTGACTTCTTATGTTTATTTTACCTAATGACTTAAATGACTTAAATCTTTCACACTGTATATTGTCCATGCTTTATCCCCATCAAAAAGTAAGCACGAAAAACAAAACAGTGTATTTTTGATATCACATCCGCACACCCACTCTGCTTTTGTGTATACATTATTATTAAATTGTCTTTTATAACATTTACTTCGGCTTGTTCCACTAACTTCAATATTGAATTGTGGTGTTGGCCCACCTAATTCTTTTATTTTTAGTTTATCCTCATAAGGCAGAGAAACAAATAAAGTTTTTTTGTAAAAACGAAACGCTATTCATTTTAATAACTATAATATCCGTAGACGCCTAAACGAAAACATTCACACGTGCCGCTAGCAGAAATAAACCACCACATGCCACGAACGAAATACTATGCATTTACTGCAGCTGTGGCTGTCGCTGTTACAGCCACATAACTCCATATACGCGTGTACTGGGTCACGTGACTGATTAGCCAATAAAAACAAAGGACGCATCTAACTGTTCGCTGTGAACACATTTTAAGGTTGCATATATTAAGGGGCGTAGCTCGCGTCGTAATAAATAATAAGATTTATTTTAGTGCGGGTAAAACCGCCACTGCTTGGGTTGATATTACAACTACTTGTAATAATTTAATTAATGAGTATTTTTTTCTAAACTAAATTTTACAACGAGAGATGAAAATGAATAAAAAGTGTATTCTTTCTCGAGCAGAAAATGCTACTTTATCTACAGGGTGTCCTAGAAATAAATGATAAAATGTTTAAATCATCAAGAGCAACAACTTTTATCTGATACTTATTTTCTAAAATCTCTTAGTTCAGACGTAATGTAGTTTTTTAAAAGTTTAAATTTTTGTTACACACAACTATACCAAACGTCCCTTAGTTGTGGATAATAGTGAACAAAGGGAAGCAGAAAAGTAGGAGCCATTTAAAATAAATATTAAAGACAAATTGTTGCTTTTAATGAGTTTAAATGTGTTTTAAGTTGGGTTTTAATGTATTTCAAATATTAGCACTTATTAACGGAACACCCTTTATAATTTTATGTCAAGCGAACTGTTTTGCAAATTATTCTTGTTATAGTCAGTCTCATATTGATTATTATTTTAAACATATACTTGATTATTAAAAAATATAAACATAAACACAAAAAAATATACAACAATAAATGTTAAAGATCTAGGCTAGGCAAATAAGTGCAATTACTTACAACTGTTCCCAAACCAGAGAACAAACAACAGACAGCCCAATTGAGACAACATTTCGAGATGGACTTTCCTTAGACAGAAATCTGACAGATATATATATGTATAATTTCCAGTTATCTTGTTTATCACAGTCACAAGGGTGGAACTGGCATGATCGGAGTGAAATAGTGAAATATTTCGAGTGATGGTTTGTAAGATATACCGGGTGATTCAGTTTGATATTCGCGGCCCCGTATCTCTTATTTTAACAAATAGCTATAACAAACACTATATATTTTTAAATTGCCGCTCAAACTCTATCAAATGACATTATTAGATCGTCTCCATGGTAACATATGTCAAAATTGCTATAGTCAATTGTTTTTGTTCAAATGGCACACTATATATTTTTTTATCGATTCTGGAAGATATTTTTTCTGCGTTCAGCTATGCAAGGAAGTCTATAGTTTCATTAGAAATATTGCTAGAAAAAACAGCAAAAAAGATGAACCCTACTTTTCGTACTTTGATTCTGAAAAATGATAGCCAGCTACGGAAACAAGCTACTGTGTTTTTTAAAGTAACATATTTTATTTTTTTAATACGATAATAATATAACAATTTAAAACAATACTTATTTCAAATGTTCAAAATGACCTCCATTTACATCCAAACACAGAATAGCTCTGTTTATCACTGTCTACAAACACATTCTAGTGTTTCTTCATTTAATCTCCGACATTCTACTCTTATTCTGCTTTTAAGGTCGTCAATATCATTTAGGTAAGGCCAAAGAAAGAAATCTATAGCAGTGAGATCTGGAGATCTAGCAGACCACTTCATCGAATGTTCTTCATCTCTTGCCTTTCTGGGTTTAAAAACTCTTCTTTTCTTTTGAAAACTTTCATCTGCAGCCAAATTCCTGTCTAACTTTCTGAAAATTTTATCTGATGGAAGTTGTCTCTGAGGAAAACGATGTTGCTATAAATACCTGGCAGCTTTAGCGTTCTTTCGGCGCTCTCCATAAATTAAAATCATATCTAGTATTACTTGATTACTGTAAGTATTCATGTTATAATAAGTATAGATAGAATAGGTAGGTACAAAATGTCAATTATTTTGACAAACCGTTATTTGGAAACGTCAAAATTCAGTTGTTTCCGCAGCTGGCTATCATTTTAAAATATATTAAAATTTAAAAATATATACGGTTTGTTATAGCTATTTGTTAAAACAAAAAAGATATAGGGCCGCGAATACCAAACTGAATCACCCGGTATGATAGAGTATCAGTATAAGTGGTGCTTTGTACTAACCAAATGTTCATTTCAAAGATTATGAAGTGGAAAAATCGTAAGCGTTCTGATGACTTCTGAACAGGCGCCATCTGTCGTTTTAGGTCTGTTCACATATTTCAGCCATGTTGCTTGAACTTTCAAGTTGAAGTCTTCGAATAGCATAACCCAAATTAGATATTGCTCTTTAGAAAAATACTATACCCAACAAAATCTGCTTTTTGTTCTCATTGCTGTTAGGAGTTTTACAAATTTAACAATGTTATGAAATAAATTAGGGAGATAATAATCATACAAGTAGATATCATCTAATACCTAGAAGACTGTTTATCAGTATTTTTAATATATGGCATTTCCGTTACGTATCCAAAGACGTAACGGAAATGCCAGTAGATCGGTTATCACTAAATAATTTTGCCTTAATAACGACATTGTGAACCATTATACTACACTTAGAAGATAATCATCGAGAGAAACCTCTCGAAATTCTCGAAAACATTCGTTGTTGAGAATTACGAGTGTGCGAGCACAGTTATAAAATAAGAAACGTTAGAGACGTAAAAAACAGTTGAGATGACCGTTTTTTTCTATTATTATT